GTTATTATCAATCCCTGTCACCAAACATTTGCGGTCCCTTCACATCATACACCACCTAACAAACTGCCAAGGCTTCACCGCTAATACGAAGGTAGTTACGGATCCTGAGGCTTTTGCCTTTTAAGGCTCCTTATCAGTTTCTATCGATAGTTGTCACTTCCTATCACCTGTCATCAGTGTTCCCATCCCGCCGTCTATCTCTCTTTCAAATTTGAATGCCCTAGGCCCATTGGGACAGGAGTTATGAATTTCCTGTCAGACAAACACACACACACACAAACACACCAACAGACACACTTAGCCGGTTATATAAGTAGGATTCTTCTGAGTCTCACTGTCAGTCCTGCCTCGTCCGGTATAGAACGCATGAATAAACAAATTATTGTTATTATTGATTACGTAGTAGTGGTATTACACATTCAAAATCTCCCTCTCTCGCTTGCTTGCCTCGCCAACACATATTTGCACTTGGGTGGGATCTGATTTGGGGTTAACTCTAGCTGCACCTCAGGATCCTAGAAACGAAGAGTTCGGGTATACAGAGCTTGCAGTGATTCCGTGTGCTGAGGATAATTGAAAGGGTATTGGAGCTACAGTATCGAGGAAACAAAAAGGGGATGTGCAAATGGAATGGGTGAGGGTATCAAATCCTTCCATCCCCGGATGGGTGAAGGTGGGGTAATAATACAAACAGCAAATAAAGATGAATAATAAAGAGAAACACGAGCAGCTCAACCTGAGTTGAAGTTGATTTGTGGTGCTTTCATTTACATGTTCAAATAACTCTGAGTGACCTTCTGACGGGGTACAAACAAAGTGATACAGGATTTCGAAAAAAAAGTTTGAAGATCTTTCTCTGTTACTAGTTTGTCTGCAGGCATCTTGGGAGGATAAATGTTTCCTCAACGCATTACTTTTATTCTTGTTTCCTATGATTACTTCGATTCTCACAGCTTCCAATGTTGCAGATTTTATGCTCACATATTGTTAATTTTCTGTTTTGTTTAATTTTTGTGTCGCATATCTAAGAATGTCATGAATTTTTTGATTAATACAACGATATTGTTACACCTGAGTCTCGTCTGGCAGAAGTCACCCCACAGGCGAGTGAGTGGAGGTTCGTAGAAGACGCGGAGTAACAAGATTGTACGTAAATCGTTACACCCCTCATTTGGTTACCACTCGTCGGGTTCATTACCTCGAGCGTCTCCGGAGGGGATCAACTCATGATAGATACTATAACGTCAATGTTTGGTAAACCCACCATAAGATCAGGAGGAGGCAATGTTTTTATATCAGTGCATAGGAGATCGCGAACTGCGTTTTCTTCGTTTGGCAAGTTAGTGAGATCTCGAAGTTTCTGTTGAAGATCATGGCAAGGAAGATCTGATGGGGTCAGACCGACACGAGACAACAGTCTGAAAAGGCGATATTCAAACAATGTAGCATCCTCGGCATCAATTCAAACTCGAATCGAGCATGTAGAAAATCAATTCAAACAAACACAGGTCATTACAACTGCCAGGTGTATTACATACTTTCTTGCTGAGTGGTACTGCGAAGGATGCACAATCGTTTTGTCCAGAGGTTCTGTACAAAACTTTTTCTTCTTGTTCACTGGTCCATCAGAACAGCTCTCACTGTCGATATTCACGGTAAGGAATCCTGAAATTGGATGACGCAACCTTGAAGCTATCAATTGTGTAATGTTCGACTGAGAAGGAAGCAAGAATAGGCGTTGAGGTTACAGAGGAGGAAGAGGAAAAGTTTCACCTTTGGGACAGAAAAACCTATAATTGAAGTGTGTAAAAAAAGAAAAAATAGAACACGAATAATAATACTGATGTTCACCTGCACACTGCTCGAACGACTTCATACCAAGACCTTTCACTTTCCTGATATCTTCGCGAGACTGAATGCGCCCCATCTTCTCTCGGAGAGCCACCAAACCAGCAGCAGTCTTTTTATTCAAGCCACATACTTTTCTTCAAAGACAGTTCTCGTGTGTTGGCGCATTCAGTCAAAAAAATGATGAACAATGTAGAGCTCACTCTAGAAGTTGCACAGAGGCCAAGTTCACATCTACACCACGCATTGAGACGCACTCCCTTACAACCAGCTCCAGTGTCTCCGACAGCCTTTTCGTATTTACGGAGTGCTAGTTCGAACGATTAGCTGGGAAGTCAAGTAATAAATGAAAAAAAGGCGCACCTGATACATACCCATACCGAGATGCTTCGGTTCAATTTTTACGTACTCAGCCATCGGATCAATAAGACGACGTCCAATCGAAACTGGTGTAAAAAAAATTAAAACTCAATGAAGTACCATCCATACCAGCCAATTTGTAAAAATATACCGGCACTTCTCTGAGTTGGTGGCATATTCGGCAAATCTTGCTCTGCCAAAGGGGTAACACTGTATTTGGAAGCGCCATTTTCGGGTACAGTGCTCCAATTTTTCAATCTCAGTGACTCATACACCAATTGTACTAGTATACGAAGATGAGGAGAGAGACTAACCAGAATTTCACATCTTTTGGCATGAACTTCCCGCTGCGTATCATCTCTGCGACGGCCATCTGTGTCTCAAATGACGCCTTACCATTGCCGATAGCCACGACCACTCGTCCGTGTCCGCTTCGCGAAATCCAGTGCTTCAGCAAGTTTTCGCCATTAAGGTCGAATGACTTGCCTTTGAGACCAAATTCGGCTGTCTCCACAACCGATCCTAAGAACACAGTAGCATAGAAAACTCTTCAGCATTCCAACCTAGATTTGAACTAAACCGACGAACTTTACATTGCTAGGTCGTACGCAACTGCATTGCAGCTATGGCGCACGAGCCTTTATTAATCCATTGACGATAATGGACATATGGACCGCACTTTTTGGCCATAAGCCGCGGTGCAGTCCACATGTGTACTGCATTGTATTTCTGTTCTATCATCTATATTTCCACAGTTTTACTTTCTTTCTTTTTGAAAGATCACATCAGCATTAGATGAAACTACATGCGCGGTCCTATAAAATCTTCCAATTTTGCAATTGTAAAGGTGTTTTTTCGAAGGAGTACATGAACTTGGTGAATTTTTCGTTGTTAAACAACTTCAAAAAATGAGATATTTTGAAAAGACGGTCATTAGCATTTTCGCCGTCATCGACCAAATGCAAAGCTCGTAAAAATTCTCCGAAACGATTTCTGGTAATGATTGAACTCGTAATTGAATGATCACTAGACCGAGTGCCAGTACTATAATATAATAAAGATCAATAATTACTCATTGTGGGCATGCCATGCTTATCAATCCCATTTCAAGAAACGTTCCGAAAAACTTACAAATTTATCCTATAAACTTCAAAAAATGGTCACGCTGGACCATCTAGTCCATATGTGGGCTGCAGTCACGAGTGGACGAAAAGCGCGCCGGACCCTCGAGGTCCCTTTCCCGCCAGATATGTTTGTCGTCAAAGAGTTAAAAAAAAACGTATGCTCAGCTCTTTTTTTGCTTGTATGTTAGTTGCCTCACGGCTTTGCTAAGTGAGATCTCTCGATTTTCTGCGTATTTTCTGGGTTTCGCGGCCAACGTTACCCCCTGCAACAAATTATACCGCAGATTCCCCACTGAAACTATGAGTCACCGGTCACTGTTGGTCCTTGAATAAATTAGAAATGCCTACTTGTAAAAGATGCACTATTTTTTAGACGCAATAATTTTTATGAGAGTAAAAATGAATCGTCACATTTTCACATGTCAACTCCATTTCTTTACATCTCAAACACTTAATGATGGTAGGTGAGCAGGACGGTATCATTAAATTTTCGTGTTTAATTAAGGTTGCTTCATACTTTAGTGAGCGATAAACTGGATGCTATGTAAGAGTTCTCCACAGCCCTCAAAGTGCATTTCATCCTAAACATTTGCGACTTCCTTGAGCGTTCCTAGGGTATAGTTCCCCTCCACTTTGTTAGAGTGCTTTGTCGGATCAAAAATCTGCACTATCACCGAATCCCGATTCATCTAGTCGAGAAACACGAACTTTGGATACCAATCCAACATTGGCCAAACGGTACTGCAGGTGTAAAATACTGCGCTCCGGGGTCACTATCTGACCCATGGCAAAAGAAACATTTGCTCCTCTCCCCCGCCCTGGGCGTTATGCATACGGTCCTTAGTTGGCTTCCCGAGCGCGTGAAGCCGCATCAGTATGCGCGCCGCCACTGAAGTTCTTTGCGTTAGAGTCCGTTATCCTCAAAACAGAGCTACGTAACGCTCCTTCATTCTAATGCGCTCTCGTCACATTAGATCATAGTAGTCGAAGGTCAAAAATAACATCATTGTTACAAAAAAAAAATGAAAAAAAGTGAACAGCACAATCAATAGAAGGAAAAACTATCCTGCGAAATCGCTTTGAACAGCATGAAATAAAGCGCTTCTGCACAATTGTATAGACGAACTTGCTTCCCATCTATCCAAAAAACAGTGATTCAGTACGGGCGCCCGGCTCTCACAATAATTCGGCTGCAAGTCCTGGCCCGAACGTCTGGTTATGGAGTAACACAGTCGGGAGTTTTTGAAGCATATATTTAGCATGGATGGTTATTCTTAGCACAGAAGTGATTTGAATAAGCTGATAGTAGCATTAGATACATACAAATTACTTCGGAACAAAAAACAGATCCGTCTGCGCATTAGCTGGATTTGTTGCTAACCTTAGAAAAAGTATAGCGTGTATAAATTACCTTGCAACAAAAGATCATCAAATTTCCACAACCTCGGATTGCTTGTTTACACGTTATTTATTTTGACGAAGTGAATCTTGGCAGATTTTTTAGGATCATATTAAGAACGGAACGAGGTGGAATTGGGAAAGCGCTTACGACTTGACCCTTGAAAGCGGTTGTGAAACGGTCGTACACGGTGCTTATAACTATGATCTAGTCCAGTGATTATCAAGAATGTCCAAGAAGTGTTTGATACACTGAGTTTCGCTGCGGAACGTTATCGTCAACAGTATCCGCTCATCTGTATAAGACATACCATAATCGCTGAGAAACTAACGGCAGTCAGTCTCATTCGTTACACTGGTTTGGGTAGCATCCCGTCTGAAATACGTAAGTCATAGAAGTAAACCTAACCTCATTCTATCGCTTACCTCTCGAAATAGGACTACTGAACATAGATAATAGGTGACTTTGCAGATGAAATGGAACGCTCAAAGCTTGGAAAACCACCAAAATTTCGCCGTAGAGCGAGCAGCACTTTAACTTGTAGGATTTTCTAATCCGAAAAAAAGAGTTTGAAGACAATTCGTTTACTTTACAGTGACAACGGTTGAGGATGATGGCACGCAAGTCGAAAGAAGACCAAGACGTAAGTCCCGGAGGCCTACAGCTCGTACGCATGCAGCAGATCAAGCTGTGTTCAAAGAGGCATTTAAAATGTTCTGTGATCGTACACTGAAAGTGAGCCATTACTAACACGATATATAATAGTAACGATTGAACAGTATCAGATCTCTGGAAACACCGTTTTAGATGGGAGTCACTGCATTGTCTGATGAATTTATGAAACTAAAAATGGCCACACAATCGATCGGTAACCGACCCAAAACAGCATGGGATGCGAATCCAGACAAGAATCGATACCGAGGTAAAACGCAAAGTCGAGCTTGTGGATTGAACACTTTCATACTTCAGCAAGTTGTTAGTGAAAAACTTGTCAGAGGTCTTTTGTATCGACACGACCAGAGTGGTACTGACATGGCCTTCTGGGATGAACGACTACATCAACGCAAATTGGGTATCCAGTGTTGAGAAGCAAAAGAAATTCATATGTACACAGGTAGTTGAGCTAGACGCAGCGCCAACGAGGGATGTTACAACTAAAAACGGTTAGAGTACACGTATGACACTTCTTCACACGTGAGGCCAAAAGAAAGCCGTTAGATGTCTGTAATGGCTTCCCCTTGGCTCCCACAAATGAGGAAACCATGGTTGTTTAGAGGTATCATACGCGTACTGTAACCGTTTTCAATTGGTCGGAACCATGTTTAGGGTCCAATGGATAAAACCGTTGACGACTTTTGGCGAATGGTATGGCAGGAAAAGTGTCGGAGTATTGTGATGCTGTGCAATATCATGGAATGTGGCAAACAGAAGTGTGAACAGTACTGGCCCCTCAACGCGGAATCGCCAGTAAGAGATCCTTGCTATTTATAGAGTGCTCTCATCTGTCTGTCCGTCTATCTGTCTGTCTATTTGCATGGAAATTCATAACTGGTAGAAATAACAAGTGGAAATTTGGTAGGAGCACAGGAGGCAGAATAGAAACACTTACGGTGGGTGACAGGACCGGAACCGCCCACAGGGGGCGGGGCCGGTCCTGTCACCCACCGTAAGTGTTTCTATTCTGCGATTGCGATTGGCCGGTTGCGCGATTGAAATGTTGGAGCGGGAAAATCATGACTCCTGTCCCCGTGAAGCTCGAGCATCCAAATTTGGTAAGAGCACAGGAGGCAGAATGGGAACGTACATGCTAGGTGGTAGGAAGACATGCGACATGTGGGATGTAAGGGGTCGAACTGATAACAACTGAAAAGAGCTGATAAGTGGCCCCAGAAACAAGACCCATACACGAAATAGAACCCGACGGAGAAATTAGTTTGGTGTAAAGGTATGTGGTATTTGATTCTTTAGTATGTTTCATTCGATAGGACGGGATAGTAAAGTAGGGTGACAAAAAGTTAGTGGTAAAAGCAGATTGAAGCTTCTTGATTATGAAGGGATGAAAGCTCTGTTCGTTTACTGCTGTTATATCATGACCGCTACCCAGCAAAGTTTGTGACTTAATGAGGGATCCTGACAATGAGGGATGACACTTAATCAGAGATGACAGATTGCTCTGATAATATTCGCTACAAATCTTATCCAACCGTTAATGATTTAAGAGCCTCTACTAATGATACACCTTTAGAGAAAAAGTTCCACTGATAACATCCATCTATTCTTGCAGTCTGCTACTCCTTGTGATATAAAAAGTCACTAGGCCTTTTTTTAGGAGATTTTGCTCATAAAGATGGTAAGCAACATCCAATTATTAGTGGCAATAAATGAGCTCTTTGTACCTTTTTAGGGATTCAAGTTGTGAGCCAATCATTCCGTCCGTCTCCTTGCAGCCAAGTAGGTCACAAAACAGCAACCCTGCCAATCCCATAAAACCGACAGCATAAGCTGCAGACCGTGGAGCTGTGGTTTTGGTTGGGATGGTTGGTCCTGGCCGTAATGCAACCAGGTAGGGGGACGGCATTGCGTGCTTTTCCGTAGTAAACTAGTACTCATCCCCATTGGTAATCGACTCAAGAACGTCCTGCTTATGGAGTCATGGAGACGACTTTCACCAGATACACCCTTGAACTGCTCGGTCATATTCGACCAACTCATGACGCAGGGCATCTTTCTCGAAATTTTCTTGACGATTCAATGATCGCCTATTAAATGAATGTATGCTGTTGGACATGAAGGGACTATATTGTTGATTGATTACTCTATTCAAAAGATGAAAGCTGAATAGACAAAGTATTGAATTGCGAGAAATACTCATGGAACAACACAATATTTTCAAAAATTTTTGAGTCAACTTATAGATGAAACTGCCCAGCGGACTTACTGTTAAGTTCGTTTCGTCTGATGCCATCGAGAATAGCGTGGATTTAACCAAAGTCTCTGTGTGTGACGACAGTGGAGTAAGTTTGTTTCTTGAAGGTATTTCTCGAAGCTTTACCAAGAAGGAAAAATAGTAGATTGAGGTTTTTTCATCGCTTCTTCAGCACGAACACTCACTTGAACATTTTCACTGGAAAGACTGGCCCGATCGAGGTGTGCCCGCTACGACGACGCTATCAATCTTCCGACTCCTTCGCAAGGTTTACGTTTTACAAACACTTGTAATTTCAAATACACTCCCTGATGCGACTACGCTGTAATCTCGGCTGGTCGTGCCAGGGACCTTCAGCTAGTTTTTCTGTTAAGTATACTACCTACCGATGCCACCACCCGTGACGAACTAGATTTAGCATGCCGAAAGCCAATCTATGATCTATGCCTCGATCTATACCGGTGGATGAAAGCTGCTCGTTAAGACGAACCATCCAACAAATAGCTAAAGCGTGGCGCTTCTACGAAAAGACATTGCTTGAGATTAAATCCTCCTGCCAACTTGCCTCTACTTTAGCACTATAGCAAATCCTTGACCGTGCGAGCCCCACTTTTCACATTCTCCAACCATTCCATTTCAAATTTTTTTCAAAGCAACATGACGCTGCATATTCAACCAAAAGCATTCGCTTCATCATGTGGTTTCGGATAAAAACGCGGCTTCCACAACATTCTTCCGAATGCTCCCGTCTAGCGATTTGCTAAGTGTCTTTTCAAGACAAATCAGACCCGTATCCATTGCCTATAACTAACTAGAAGCAGAACAAACATGAATGATCAAATTCAGGTTAATCGCCTCACGCCTTGCGTTGTACACTGTTCTGCAGGCATCGGACGAACTGGCACAGTTGTTGGAATCGACTTACTTTATCGACGACTGGAGAAGGGCGAAAAAGACGTGAGTTCTATTCGATGGTTATGCTGACTCGCCTACTTCATTCTTTCCAATTTCAGGCAACTCTCTTAAATGTAGTTAGTGAACTGCGAGAAATGCGACATGGAGCTGTTCAAATGGATGTGCAATACCTTTACATGCATCGCATTTTACTAGTGGTGGCAGAAAACTTAAAGGTTTGTCAAGTTCACTATAATAGAGCATAGCCACACATATGGGGAGCTCCTTCTGCTTCTTCTTCATAATGGAAAAGTGCTCGAATCACGAAATAACCGAACATTTGTAATTCAGATAATAACTCCGGAAGAAACGCAGAAATTCACTAGTGATTATGATCAAATGCTTAAGACTCGCGGTTTTGTGTGACGAATGTGAACGTCCAAGGACCACCTCACTTACAAAAACGACGGTGTATACAATTAAATTGGGCCGAATTATACACATTTTACTTGCACTTGTTAGGACTGAGATAAAAGGTAGTTTAATTGCGCTTCAAACTTTCTGAAAATAGAGGCAGGAATAAACTTAAACGAAAGCATTAGAATGAAACTGAAGTATGTCAACTATTCAACTATATAATTTCTTCAAGCACTAGTAGAAACATCCGCAAACAAGTGTGCTCATTACAAGCTACTAAAGAGCATAAAAACACTTTTTGTTCAAGCAATAGTTACAAGCACAATACAGAAATTCTGAAAATGCAGAAGCACCGAGTAAGCCGTAGTGTTTGAGCCCTAGGGCAGGGGATGTAACATAAATACCATGACTTTTTCTACGGCCCGTGTCGGGTCTGCTCACGACTGTTCCAACAAAAAGTAGAAAGAAGAACTACATTATTACTATATATGCACGCTGACGCTAAAAATTCTATGTCGACGGCGGCTTGCCTAGGAGTCATTCAGCGGAATGTTGGATTATCCGAATACCAGTTCGGCTATGCATGCATGCGTAAGCATGCATTGTATGTCACCGACTGCTCATCCGTAGGCTTAAAGCTTCTGCAGGTACTTTATCAGGAGTTATCGAATTTTCAAACAGATAGACGCGAGCGCTTCATATATAGTAAGGAAGATATTTATATTTCAACGCTGAACTGCTGAGAGCATCACGCTCGAAATATTTCACTTGAGCAGAATTATTAGTGGTTGTTCATAGCCCGTCTACCTCAGAGCAGACCCTTTCCACCAAACTTTCCAACAAACTTGACCAACCGTCTTTTAACTGTTCCCACCCATTTGCTCAGCGTTTTCGAAGAGATGATTTTTGGTCCTAGCCCCGCTTCCCTGTGCCAGCTCCACCCACTATGAGGATACCCACATTTGTTCCATTACCTCTAACCGTTTTTCCCGCATTATAAACTCTCCAAATGAAGTCACACTCACTTTTGAAAAATAGTTTTCACCTCAACGCACGCCCCGCCCATCGTGGGCGGGACTTCGCTACGCTTACGCATGCCGAGCACGCTTAAGGCCTTACTCACTCTTTTTATTTTCTTTCTCCTGGCCTCGACGCTTTCGTCGAATCGAGTTATGAATCCCCGTGAAACGTCACCCACTGCGAGAACGTTCCGCTCACGGCCGGTAAGTTTCCTTTATTTTATTAGGTTGAGCCATAAATCCTCGGACAAATTGGCAATGATTATATTTATCTTACAATTTCTAAACGACAATTGCGAAATGGTTGAAATATGCCTCATAGGCATCGATAATCTTCTGCCAACGCTTGGCAGATCGTAGATGCCCTTGCTTCAGAACGCTAGGGGCTGGCCCTTGAAAAACTGCTCGAGTGCCATTTTGATGTCGTCGCAGGTCTGGATGATGGTGATGAGAGAAAAGGTGGTAATCCGAGAGAGCCAAGTCTGGGGAATGTGGTAGGTGTGGTGGAACTGTCCAGCCCAATTCATTAGTTCAGTTTTGGTCGTTCTTGCAATGTGCGGCCGAGCGCTGTCGTGCTGGAAATTAGCTTTGTGCTGCTGTGGACGTGTAGTTTCGAGATTCGCCTTCAAATTCCTAATGTAGACGTCTGCGGTCACTGTACATGATTCGTCTAGCAGCTCCCAATATTCGACACCGTGAACGTAGAGCATAATCTTCTTGGCGTGTACGTTGCGTTTAGGAAGGTATTCTGCATAAGCACCTTTTTCAACCCATTGAGCTCGCCGGT